TTTTCATCAAGGTTATCAAATTTGCAGCATAGTTATTCATTGTATTCCATTATCTTTTTAATGTCAATAGAATCTATTCTTTTATTTCTGATATTAGTAAGTTGTGTTCTCTCTCTCTCTCTTTTTATTTTTTCAGTTATCCTGGCTAGAGGTATCAATTTTAGTAACCTTCTTGACTCTTGGTTTCACTGAATTTTTTTTCTATTGATTTCATTGATCAATTCCATTGATTTGTGTTCTAATTCTTATTTCCTTTCTTTTCTTGCTTTGGATTTAATCTGCTCTTCTTTTTCTAGTTTCCTAAGGTAAAAGCTTAGATGACTGGTTTTAGTTCTTCTTTTCTAATATATAAATTTAATGCTATAAATTTCCCTCTAAGCACTGCTTTCACTGCACCCTAAATTCTGATTAAATTGTATCATCATTTTCACAAGGTTCAAAATATTTTTTTTTACTTCTGTTGAGATTTCTTCTTTCTCTCTTGTGTTATTTGAAAATACATCATTTAATCTCTATATATTCAGGAATTCTCTGTTACCCTTCTGTTAATTAATTTCTAGTTTAGTTCCATTGTGCTCTGACAGCAGACTGCTATATAACAAAATAATCCTAATTTGTCCATCTGTTAATCATTCCTGTCATTCATTTTACTTATATAAGTGCACGTGCACACACACACATACAATTGACCCTTAAGCAACACAGGTTTTAATTCCATGGATCCATCTATACATGAATTTTTTCATAAACACAGTACAGTACTGGGCACCTGGGTGGCTCAGTGGTTGAGCATCTGCTTTCGGCATGATGCTGGGATCCTGGGATCGAGTCTCACATCAGGATTGTCGCAGGGATCCTGAATCCCCCCCTGTGTCTCTCCATCTCTCTGTATGTCTCTCATGAATAAATAAATTTTTTTTAAGATTTTATTTATTTATTCATGAGAGACACACAGAGAGAGGCAGAGACATAGGCAGAGAGAAAAGCAGGCTCCATGCAGGGAACCTGACATGGAACTCAAATCCCAGGTCTCCAGGATCACGCCCTGGGCTAAAGGCGGCGCTAAACCACTGAGACACCTGGGCTGCCTAAATTTTTTTTTAAATACAGTACAGTCCTGTAAATGTATTTTCCCTTTAAGATTTTGAAATTTTTTTCTCTAGCTCACTTTATTATAAAAATATAGTACTTAATGTATATAAAATACAAAATATGTATGTTAATGAACTGTTTATATTATTGTTAAGGGTAGGCTACAAGTTAAGTCTTAGGGAAGTCAAAAGTTATGCATGGATTTTCTAATATGCATGAGTCAGTGCCCCTAATCACCATATTTTCAAGGGTCAACTGTATGTGTAGCAATTGTATATGTTTCCAAATACACTGTTGCTCTTATTTTGAACAAACTGTCAACTGTTAGATTAAAAAAATAAAACTTTTGGGGTACCTAGTGGCTCAGTGGTGGATTGTCTGCCTTTGGCTCAGGTCGACATCCTGGAGTCCCGGGATCAAGTCCCACCATCAGGCTCCCAGCAAGGAGCCTGCCTCTCCCTCTGCCTCTCTCTCTGTGTCTCTCGTGCATAAATAAATAAAATATTTTGAAAAATAAATAAATAAATAAATAAATAAAATAAAAAATAAAACCTTTCATTTTACCTTCATTTATTCAATCTTTTCTTTACGCAGATCCAAGTTTCTGACCTTTATTATTTCCTTCTCTCTAACGAACTTCTTTTTTTTTTTTTCCTAACGAACTTCTTTTGACATTTCTAGCAAGGTAGATCTAATGGCACCAAATTCCCTCAATTTTTGTTTGTCTGAGAAAGTTTTTCTTTCTCCTTCACTTTTGAAGGTCATTTCATAGGATACAGAATTCTAGGTTCATTTTTTTTCTCTCAACACTTGAAATTTTCACTTCTTTCTCCTCCTGCTCACATGATTTCTGAGAAATCAGAAGTAATTCTCATCTTTGTTCCTCTATAGGTATTTTTGTCCTCTAGATTCTGTCAAAATTTTTTCTTTATCTTTGATTTTCTTTAGTTTGAATATGATATGCTTCAGTGTACTTCTTTATTTATCCTGCTTGGTGTTTTCTGGGCTGCCTAACTCTGTAATTTGGTGTTTGACATTAATTTGGGGAAAATCCTCCGTCATTGTTTCAAATATGTCTTCTGTTCCTTTCTCTCTTCTGGTATTTCCATTACACATTTATTATATTTTTGTTGTTGTCCAAAGTTCTTGGCTATTCTACTCCTTTTTTTTTCAGTCTTTGTGTCTTTATTCTCTTTGCTTCCCAGTTGTATAGCTTTCTATGGTTATAACTTCTAGCTCCAAATTCTTTCCTAAGTGGTATCCTGCCTACTAATGAACCCATCAAGGGTATTCTTCATTTCTGTCAGAGTTTTGATTTCCAGCATTCTTTTTTTAGTTAAAATTTCCTTTCCTCTGCTGACATTGTCTCTCTGATCTTGCATGCTACTCACTTTACCCACTAGAGCCCCTTAGCATGTTAATCATAGTTGTTTTAAATTCCTGATCTGATAATTCCAACATACCTGCCATGTCTAGTTCTACAGTTTATGCTGTGTCTTTAAATTGTGTTTTTTGCCTTCTAGTATGCCTTTTGTTTTTTGACTGTGATACATAATGTACTGGGTAAAAAGAACTACTATAAATAGGCCTTTAGTAATGTGGTGGTAAGATGGGGAGGAGGGGGAAGATAAGTGTTCTATTGTCCCATGATAATGTTACAGTCTTTTGGTGAGCCTGTGCATAGGGACTGTGAACTTAAGTGTTTCTCAGTTTTTTCTCTCCCCTCTAGGTGGGGCAGGATTGCTAGAGGAGGCTAGAGTTGCATATTTTCCTTCCACCAGGTCAGTTAGGCTCTAATAATATCCATCAGGTTAGGCTCTGGTTAACTAGTTTCTCCTAACAGCTGACCTTGTTAAGAACAGAGTGCTCTGGCATATTTCAAAATGGTTCCTTTTCCATTCCCCCAATTCAAAGCACGAGGGGTTTTTTCCCCAATATTTACTGTGATAAGCTAGTTGAGCTCTTGGAGGTAAATCTCATCTCATAGAATTGTGGGAGCCCCAGTGACTAGGTCCCCCTAGAATTTTAATTCTCAGAGCCTCCAGCAATTAATAAATTATTGTTCAGGTTTTCCTAGACCTGGACTTGATTTCTGGCGTGATTTCTGCTCATGAATCTCTGGGATTCTGGGAAGCCCTGCCTCCTTGTATTAACCTGTCTGACTCTTGGGGATCCCTGGGTGGCTCAGCGGTTTGGTGCCTGCCTTCAGCCCAGGGCGTGATCCTGGAGTCCGATGATCGAGTCTCACATCAGGCTCCCTGCATGGAGCCTGCTTCTCCCTCTGCCTGTGTCTCTGCCTCTCTCTCTCTCTTTCTCTCTCTCTCTCTCATGAATAAATAAATAAAATCTTTTAAGAAAATAAATAGATAACCTGTCTGACTCTCTGAGGGCAGCAATTTACCCTAAATCTTCCCCTTTCCTACAGATCCAAGAAAAGTTGTTGCTTTTTTCAGTTTGTTCAGCTTTTTACTTGTTTTTAGGACAAATGGCAACTGCCAAGCTCCTTACATGTGGAACTAATAACCACCACTGAACTTTTTAAAAATATTAACTTTTTATCCTTTTTACCAAGATGCCTAGATGAGTCCAAAGTAAAGACTCCATCAGCTAACCATGAAAAGGTATGCCTGGAGAAGGCAGCTGGTCCCCCAGACAAGTCCATCCCTCTAACCTAGGATGGATTATCCTCATTGCTCAAAAATTCAACCCTGCCAGAATTCCAGAGTTGACTTCATTTAGGGATACTGATTAATTCCTTTAAAAGTTCTAAGAAAGAGAGTATCTAAGATGTCAACTGTTATGGTTTAATTCTTAGAGGATGTCCCTCTTGTCACAATTATTTACAAAAGAAGAGGCCTAGTGTTCATCACCACAGACCTTAGAACTCCCCAAGATTAATTGAACAACTTTTAGACCTAATGTAATTATTAACTCCAAAGAAGGTGATCCAGTAAGTCTGCTTTTAAAAAATCATCAAACGAATCTATAGGGATCTACTGATCTCATATGTTCCTCTTTTCTCATACAGAGCATTTCACTGAAAACAAGTCTGCAGCTGTCCCTGGGTAAACTGACACCACATAAAGTTGCTCTCTTTAGGGAGAGGGTGAGAAATTCACTCTCCATCTATAGAAGAGCCAAAGGTATCCATGCACAGTCTTAAAAAAATCAGAAGACAGGGGCACCAGGGTAGCTCAGTCAGTTAAGCATCTGCCCTTGGCTTAGATCATGATCCCAGCGTCCTGGGATCAAGCCCTGCATTGGGCTCCCTGCTAAATGGGGAGTCTGCTTCTCTCTCTCCCTCTGTTTCCCCCCACCCTGCCCCACTCATACACTCTCTAATAAATACATTAAAAATATTTTTAAAAATATTTTATTTACTTATTCATGAGAGACACACAGAGAGAGGCAGAGACACAAGCAGAAGAAGAAGCAGGCTCCCCTAGGGGAGCCAGATGCAAGACTCAATCCCAGGACCCCGGGATCACAGTGCCCCTAGTTTTCCTGATAAAATGCTAAAGAGCTATTGCCAAATAAGTGTGTGTTTCAGGGATGCAAAAGAGGGTAATTAAAGCATTTTTTAATTTTTATTTACCATACCATATAATAAATACATTTTACATCATAACCATGACATATGAACTTATGTATATATATCTACCCAAAACAGAAGTTATTAGCAAAAAACCACAATTATCCTCAATATATCTGACGCTTTGGGTTATTTTCTATCTCTTTTCCTAAAAATGCTGTCCATGCCCCAGTAAAATATGTCATGACTTTCTAATGATTTGTGATCTGGAATTTGAAAAATATTGGAATTCTGTAACAAATATGGGAACAAGCAATATTATTTTACAATGGTTACTTACTTGGTTACTTACTTGGTTAAAATAATGGTTACTTACTTGGTTGCTGCAAAAACAATATTGAAGGGCACCTGTTGATGAAATGGAAGGAAAGGCCTGCAAAGAAAGAAGAACACAAATGCGTGGGACTTTTGCAATGTGTACTCTCTGAGCTTTACTCTAACTCCCATATTCATCCTTGAAAATCAGAGAGCTTGAATATCCCATACTGGTAATCCTCAAATCTGGGCACAGAATCACTAGAGAGTGGGAAGATTTCTTTTTGGTTTTTGTTTTTGTTTTTTTTTTTATTTTTATTTATTTATGATAGTCACACACACAGAGAGAGAGAGAGAGAGAGGCAGAGACACAGGCAGAGGGAGAAGCAGGCTCCATGCACCAGGAGCCCAATGTGGGATTCGATCCCAGGTGTCCAGGATCGCGCCCTGGGCCAAAGGCAGGCGCCAAACCGCTGCGCCACCCAGGGATCTGAGAGTAGGAAGATTTCTATTTTGTCTTTCTTTTTTAAGATTTTATTTACTTATTCATGAGAGACACAGATTGAGAGGCAGAGACACAGGCAGAGGGAGAAGCTCCTGCAGGGAGCCCAGTGTAGGACTCCATCCTGGGACCCCAGGATCACGTCCTGGGCCAAAGGCAGATGCTCAACCTCTGAGCCACCCAGGCACTCCTGTGTTAAAAATTTAACATTTCTCGGGGCGCCTGGCTGGCTCAGTTGGTTAAGCTTCTGTCTTTGGCTCAGGTTATAATCTCAGGATTGTGGGATCCAGTGGAACCCCGCTTAGTCATGGGCTTCCTGCTCAGTGGGAAGTCTGCTTCTCCCTCTCTCTCTGCTCCTCTCACTGCTTATGCTCTCTCTCCTTCTCACTGTCTCTCATAAATAAATAAATAAATATAAATAAATAAATAAATAAATAAATAAAATATTTAAAGAAAAATTTACCATTTCTCTAAAAAGTCAGCATTATAAAACTTCTATAAGGAGGTTGCTCACAAATAACAATGTGGACTACAAATTTACTTTCTCAAGGAAGCTTATGTACATGTGACATTAAGACTATTTTTCAAAAATTTTTTTTAATTTTTATTTATTTATGATAGTCACAGAGAGAGAGAGAGAGGCAGAGACACAGGCAGAGGGAGAAGCAGGCTCCATGCACCGGGAGCCCAATGTGGGACTCGATCCTGGGTCTCCAGGATCGCTCCCTGGGCCAAAGGCAGGTGCCAAACCGCTGCGCCACCCAGGGATCCCTAAGACTATTTTTCTAACAACATAAGACCTATAGGAAGATCTTCATTTTACTTTAATCTAACTATATGATTATCACATGATTATTGATCACAAATGAAACAAAGTGAAACTTTCAACCATGTTAGTTTTGGCAAGATTCACACAAAGACAGTGAATGTCGCCTATTTGCCCACTTGTAACAATTTCCCATGTACTATGACTATCACGGTGTCTCTGCTGTACTTCACTTGACTTGATCACTTCATTTTGTTCTCAAATATACATTCTTACTTACACTAGTACCTCTGAAGTTAGGCAGATTTAGCTGTAATCCCAGATCTGCCACTTGCTAACTTAAGAGACTTCAAGCAATTGTTTTCTCCTCTCTTGGTCTCAGCTTCCTTACTAATAGGGATAATATATCTTATCCTACATTTCTGTTGTAAAAATTAATTATATAGGGGCACCTGGCTGGCTCACTTGGTAGAGCATGCAACTCTTGATCTCGGGGTTGTGAGTTCAAGCCCCACATTGGGTGTAGAAATTTCTTAAAATTAAAGTCTAAAAAATTGATTTTATATATATAAAGTACTAAACTGGTACCTAACACATTGCATGCACTCAAAAGTGATAGCTGCTATCATTATCATAAAGATATTTTCTTTCTTCCTTTTTTTAAAAGATTTTATTTATTTATTCATGAGAGACACAGAGAGAAGCAGAGACATAGGCAAAGGGAGAAGCAAGCTCCCTGCAGGGAGCCCAATATGGCACTGGATACCAGGACTTGGGGACCACGACCTGAGCCAAAGGCAGATGCTCAACCACTGAGCACCCAGGTACCCCCATAAACATTTTCTAATAAAATCCAGGGCTCATTTTCATTAGTAATTACTTTTTACCTTTCAAAATATTTATAGCGATTCTTTCCAGTCACATCAGGATCTTCATAAACCTCTTTAGCCATCTGGAAAGATGTATCCGTTCTAAAATGAAGCAGGAAAACATTATTAAAGTCTAACATGTCATTTCCAAATATAATTTCTATATTTAATAGTTTTAGATCTACAAAGTAGAAGATATACAGGGTATCTGATGAAACTGAGACCAAAGTCTTCTATAACGTGCATCTGACTGACCTACATCTCAGACTAGATAACAATTACTTTCCCTGAACCAGGAAACTAGGAGCTAACAAGAGGAAGTAAGAGTAAGAAAAGAGTAGATTTATGAAAACTCACATACAAAAAGCATGCATTTAATCAATAGTCCATAGGAATAACAGAGTTTTAAGAGACAACTTTTTATGTCCAGGTTGAAAGGTAGCTTTTTTCCTTTTACTTTACTAGGTATGACTTGTAAATAATTAAAAGAACAAAGAATTCAAGATACTTATCTCTGAAGGTGCTCTGGCTGCAAATCTCCAAATATATATATATATATATTTAGATACTAGCAGAAGGATATAGTTACAATTTCTAAGATGGATCAAAGAAACAAATTCAGTCACCTCTACCTCTACCTTTGGCAGCAAACTGTCATTTAATATACATATTCACTCCAAGCTTCTGAGAACATCTACTAACCTGTAAACCCATAACCATTGCCCCTGAATCCGGCTCGTTTTGGTCAGAGGACTTAAGAGAAGTAATTTGGGGTCCATTGATCTAGGTATAACACTTGTACTTTTAAAAAAGTGCAGAATAAAAAAATCTTAAGAAGAAAAATGCATTCATTAAAAACATGAGAAGCAGCTGAAGCTACCAGACACTTACATAGCAAGCTGCCAGAGGCCTTCTCTGTGTTTCTCCTCCTGTCCTTTCCATTCCCGGCGCATGAATGCTGGGACAGGGTCAACCTTGCTCCAATACAGAGAATACCTTGGATAATGGATCAAGTTACTGAACATGGTTCTAAACCTGGGAACTCTTCTCTAATATTCGGACAGGGAGGCAGGGAAAAAAAAGACAAAATGTTACCTTCAGATTTTCTAAAGCATTTTATTTATTTTTGTAAATTTTTTGACAGCTATAAAACAGTGTATGTGGCACAGAAAGAAGGGTAGTTGTACATACACAGAATATCTCCAGAAAGATACCCAAGAAACTAATGACAGTGGATGATCATGAGAAGGGGGCTGAGGGTTAGAATTCCTTTGTACTGTACATGTTTTTGTACTACTTGAATTCTTTAGCACGGGCACATATAACTTTTCCCACTGAAATAAATTAGGTTATAATGACTCTTTTATTCACTATTAGTTAATTAATCTTCACACTGGGCCACAAATATCAAGATGTCCCCTAGTAATCATGGCAGAGTAATTTCTGCAGAATATAAAATCCACTGGTGATCTGATGATTAGTCAATCTGATCAGTGTGGTTAGCAAAACTAGGTGGTGGAAATTCATTAGGCTGCCTTAGTGAATGAATTAGACCTACCAGTCTGTTTCGAATCAGGTTAGCTTGGATATTTGCCTGTGTGTGATCTTTCTCACTTGACACAATAAACAATGGATCTGCAAAATCAACAATAAAGTGGTATAAGGAATAGAATATATCTACTCTTGACTGAGAATAATGGCAAAACAATGTAATTTCTTAATTGGAAAACAAATTACAAGATTTAGATATTGCCTAACTCTACAGCAGCTCATACATCTCTACCACCAGTGAGAGTCTGTTAGATGCATTTCTTCTCTATGTATTCCAAAGTCAGTTTATTCAATAGGAAGGTAAGAAGATATATTCTGATATATTCTCAAGCACCAAAATCTAAACACATTGTCTTTCCTCTCCTATGAACAAACTACCTTCTGGGTCTGGGTAACCCAGAAAATACTCTAAGACAAAAGACCCCGCATACACTAACTATACTTATTTGCAAGTAAAAGAAATAACACACTGGAACACTACCTCTCATATTCAGTACAAGGGAAAGGTACAAACTCTTAACAACATGTCACCTCTGAATTGATAAACATAGTAAGAAAATGTCATTCTCTAATAATAAATAAATAAAATCAGCTATAATTCCCTCCTTAAATTTAGAAGAATGTTGATGATGGACTAAATTTTTTCTCCAAAGTTCAACAAAAGATTACTCCGTTATTGTAAGTATGGGCTTGATAGGTATATCTTTTTTTTAATATACATTTCTTTTTTATTGGTGTTCAATTTGCCAACATATAGAATAACACCCAGTGCTCATCCCATCAAGTGTCCCCCTCAGTGTCCATCACCCAGGCACCCCCACCCCCCCACCCACCTCCCCTTCCACCACCCCCCCCCAGTTCGTTTCCCAGAGTTACAAGTCTCTCATGCTCTGTCTCCCTTTCTGACATTTCCCACTCATTTTTTTTTCCTTTCCCCTTTATTCTTGATAGGTATATCTTTAAAGCAACAGAGAATATTTAGGATTATACCATCCCTTAAAATTAAATAATATGACATTAAATTCATAAGCTACCATCAGACACAGACTTGATTTCCTAAGTAGTCATCTCTTGAGAAACAAATACACTGACCAACTAGTCTAGATACTTGGCAGCATAAATCTTCACAGAAATTACTAATTGTTATTGTGATTTAAAGGTAACTTTAATTTAGATTACGTGAGTCAATTCCTAGAGTCTTAAAACTCCTCAGTTACCCAACAAAAATGATTTATTAGATGTAGACACTTAATATTCTCCCCATGGCTGGAAAGCTACAGGAGGCTCAGCTCTCTTTCATTCATGAAAGATTTATTGATGGGTTACTATGTTTGAGGTGCCTAGAATATATCAAGGAAAAAGATAAAGGTCCCTGACCTCGTGAGAGAGAGGCAATAAACAACACAACAAACTAACATTTTATATAATACATTAGAGGATAGTAAGTGCTACTAAAAAAAAAAAAGTCGGGAAAGAGCAAGTGAGGGAGATTGGGTTGCAATTTTACACAGAGTAGTCAGGGCAGGCCTCACTGAGAGGTGACATTTAAGGAGACTTGCAAGTGGGGAGTTAACTACACAGTTCTCTGAAGGAAGAGCATGTGAAGCAAAGAAACAGCTTGAGCAAAGGCCCTAAGATGGCAGCATGCCTGACATGTTTGAAAAAGAGCAGAGACCAATGGCATTGAAACAGAGGAAGAGAGACAAAATATAGCAGATCAAAGGTCAGACAAGTTACCAGGGGCCTAGATCACATGGGGCTTTGTGGGCCACTGAAAAGACTTTGGCTTTTAATCTGAGTGAGGTGGGAAACCACTGCAAGATTTTGAGGCGAGAAGGGGCAAAATCTGACTTACATTTTTAAATGTTCATTGTAGGGGCTCCTGGGTGGCTCAGTCAGTTAAGCATCTGACTCTTGGTTTCAGCTCAGGACATGATCTCAGGGCTGTGGGACTGAGCCCCACATAGGGCTCTGCACTCAGTAAGGAGTCTGCTTGGGATTTTCTCCCTGTCCCTCTGCCTCTCCCTCCCCTTCTGCCTGTCTGTCCCTCTCCCACTCATGCATAGGCACACTCTAAAATAAATATTTTTTAAAAATGTTCATTGTGGCTACCCAGTGACGAACAGATTGTATGGAAGTTATGAAAAGGACAGGGAGACCTATTAGAAGGCTCATGCAGTGAGCCTAGAGAAGAGATGATGGTGATGGCAATAGAAGTGATGAAATGGGGCAGGATTCTAGATCTATTTATAAAGTGGAAGAGAGAAGAATTTTTAATGGATTGGAATGGTGTATGAGAGAGAGAGAGAGAGAGAGAGAGAGAGAAGACAATGGTGGCTCTAAGATTTTTGGACTTCAGTAACTAAAGTATGGGGTTGGTATCAATTGACACAGGAAAGCCTGTGGGTTTGTAGGGAGAATGTGAAAAGCAGGCCTTAGGTGTTTATTATATGTCCAAGTAGAGAAACAAAGGAGGCAATTTGTTGGGGTTTTTTAAAGATTTTATTTATTTATTCATGAAAGACACAGAGGGAGAGGCAGAGACATAGGCAGAGGGAGAAGCAGGCTCCTCTCAGGGAGTCCGATGTGGGACTTGATCCTGGGACTCCAGGATCATGCCCTGGGCTGAAGGTAAGTGCTCAATCGCTGAGCCAGCCAGGCGTCCCAAAAGAGGCAATTTGCTACACAAATCTACAGTTTGAGAGAGAAGTCTGGACCAGCGAATATGTATTTGGGAATCATCACCTTTAGATATACTCTTCTTTAGCTGCAGCACCCAAATCCATATCTATGATTCAAGTTGAGAATGGAAATGGGGCTGATTAGAAATGACAAAGGCAAAGTTTATGGCCCCAAATAACAGGCTAGTGTATTGGAAGACCGAATGAATGTACTTGCTTAAAGGGAAGAAGGCTGTAGCTTCAACCTGTCTGATATATTGAGAACAGAACGGGACAAAGGGAAATTTCTATTCATACTCTTATTTTAAGTGATTTAAAAGATGTCACTGGGTCTATGGTTCTAACTGTGTCGTTCCTCTTAAATGAATTTAGCCTACATTTCCCCTAAGTCTGAATAATAAATTATAAGCCATCCTCCTCTTCTTCCCATAAGGAGTACAAAGGCATGCTATCTACAGAAACACTCCTGCCACCTATAGAAGATAATGGCACAATAGCATATGATTTATGACTACACATTCTGCGACGTGTCCTACAAGTGTGATCATAATCAGTGCTCGAAAGGCAACAGTAGGACCTCTGAGATGCCCAGATAATAGCACTCACCAGGTATTGCTTGCTTATTCCTAGGTAAGTATTAAGTGCTTTATGTGCAATATTTCATTTAATTCTCACAAAAACCCAATGAGGTAGGCACTAGGGCTCCTTTTTAAAGGGAAGGAAACTGAGGCTTCAAGAAGTTAGCCACTTACTGACAGAATTTCAACTCCGATCCTTCTGGCTCCCAGGAGTAATATTATCAATACTCCATGAATTTTATGGGTTAAAGTTTCCTATGAAAACCATGAAAAAGTCCCTCAACCAATTTACCCATACTGTAGAAACTGTTGTGACAAGCCTAGGAAGTTGTCATAACCAAGTAATCATGAGAGAGGAAGTATGTAAACTTTTAGGAAAAAGTATAATGAATTGCATATTCTGGGGGAAAAGAAAGGAGGAAAGAGTTTATGACAAACCTAGAAAGCATTTTAAAACATTTTTGGAAAACTATATCATATATTTAAAAGCTTTAATTATCAGGGCAGTAGTGTACCTACTAATCAATATACAAATTCAGGAAAGTGACAGTGTATGGTGGTCACTCTGGGAGGCACTTGAGAGATACAAAGCATTTACCAAAAAACTAAAAGTAAAATGCAGGGACACCTGGATGGCTCAGCAGTTGAGCATCTGCTTTCCACTCAGGGCATGATCCCAGAGTCCCGGGATCGAGTTTGGCATTGGGCTCCCTGCATGGAGCCTGCTTCTCCCTCTGCCTATGTCTCTGCTTCTCTCTCTGTGTGACTCTCAAGAATAAATAAATAACATCTTTTTTAAAATCTTAAAAATAAAAAAAAAGTAAAATGCAAAATGGTATATAAAGGAGGTAAAATCTATTAAGAAAATGATGTTAACTTTAATACTAAGAAAAACAAGGTATTAGAATCTATCTTAATTGCTAGAATGATCAGAAGAGTAATTACATTTAATGAAGACATCCAAAGCTGATTAGAGGAGCAAAAGCCTTGCAGACAATTAACTATGATAAAAAGGCCATTGGGTTTGAGGGGTGGGAGTGAGGGAAGGGTGAAAAGGCTTAGAAAGGTGTTCATATGTGTACCACTGACCACCACAGCTCTGCCAGGGTGAAAATCTGACCCAGGCCAGTCAATTCACTGGCTTGTCAACAACACATCTTATCTCTCTCTTCAATTTTCAGCTAAGATACACGAGGACTCTATACAATTGGTAGTGAGCTTTAGGACAAGAGGTCGCAGAGACTGCCATTCCAGTCCCTGTCGTAGTAAGAGAAATCCATAAACAAGTTGCTTTCTGTCAGATGGAAGAAGGGAAACATATGCACAGAAAAAAGCAAGGGTTAGAGTTGCCAGATAAAATACAGGATGCCCAGTTATATTTAAATTTCATATAAGCAATGAATAACTTTTTATATAGACATATCCCAAATATTGCATGGGGCTAAAAATGTATACTAAAATATTATTCGTTATTTATCTCAAATTTATGTTTAACTGTGTGCATCCTGTATCTTTACTTGCTAAATCTGACAACCTAAACAAGGTAAAAAACCGTAAGGCCCGGGATCCCTGGGTGGCGCAGTGGTTTGGCGCCTGACTTTGACCCAGGGCGCGATCCTGGAGACCCGGGATCGAATCCCATGTCAGGCTCCCGGTGCATGGAGCCTGCTTCTCCCTCTGCCTATGTCTCTACCTCTCTCTCTCTCTCTCTCTCTGTGACTATCATAAATAAATAAAAAATTTAAAAAAAAAGAATTTAAAAAAAAAAAAAAAACCGTAAAGCCCAAGAAATCACACAGAAGGGTACCACACCTTAGTTCTAACCTTCCCTGTCTTGGTTCTACTTTGTCCTGGCTATACTTGCTTCCCGTCCATTAATAGCTGTGAGACTGCCTGTTTTATTGGAACAATCCAAACTTTATTTGGCCTATTCTGAGTGGGTTTCTCTTCCTTGCAAGGGATATGGAAACGTTTTGCAATCCTTCTGCAAAAGAGAGAGAGAGAGAGAGAGAGAGAGAGAGAGAGAGAGAGAGACTTTTAAGAATAAAAGAGACAAGCTTGATAAATTCTTGCCTTTCTTTACTGAAGAGGTCTATCCAATTCCCAAATTACTTTTGAAACGGTAGTGATGTGTTTACAGTTTACTAGACTTCTTTTACAAGATGAAACCAAGAGTGAATAAAGAAAACCACCAGCCAGAATAGCTACGCAACCATTACATACCCCCTATACCACGAAATGGGTAACCGATGGATTCCCATTCAAAGAAGATTCTGGGAATCCTAGAGGAGATACCACATGGTTTATTTTTTATTTTATTTTATTTTATTTTTTACCACATGGTTTAAAAGCAACCTAAGGCTCAGGTGAAGAGCATGAGACTGCGGAGGGCGATATTAGAAAAAAAAAAAACTCACGTTTAACTGATTAAAATTCTTATAATAAATTCAAGTTTCAGTAAACATTTATGAAGTAGCGAGCACATGCACCAACACTGGAATAGGTTGGAAGACACCCAAAGGCTGCAAAAATGTACAAAACCAGTACTTCAGGAACTCCAGGAACTTAAGGTCCGGTAGAAGAAACCACAAAAACGGACAAGCAGGACATTAAGACAACCTGGGCCTTAATTGACAGAAAAGAATCCAGTGGACCTAGTTTATAAGCAGTGCTCTGATGAGTAACAGTAAGGTTTTGTTTTTGTTTTTTTAAGAAGAGAAAACTAAAAACAAAGGTGAGATAAGACTGCTCCTTCCTTATCTACAAAGCCAAATGTGGAGCAGCACGGAGAACCGGAGCGGGAGCGTCCTTTTGGTCCGGCCCTTCACACAGGTGGAATGTGGGAATGTTGAGAGAATCTCCAAATCTAGCAAATCACTGCCTGCTTTCCTGGATAACAGAACACCCGGGACCGCTTCAGGCTGTGCAAGTCCCCAGGGAAAAGACGGTGGGAACAGCGAGGCGATCCCGCGCGGGGCTCCGGGACGGGGCGCACCTGCGGCTTCCGACGCCCGCGGGGAGCACCGCCGGGGGCGGGGGGGACCTCGGGGCAGCGCCCAACCGACAGAGGACACCCGCGGGCGGGGGATCTGTCCCGAGGCTCATCTTCCGTTCACCGCGCCCCAGGTCCCGCGGCCCACCTGGCCCAGGAGTCCACGACCCAGGAGGGAGGTCCGGGGCAGCGCTTACCGTACAGAAAATCATACGGTCGATTGGCGGAGACACTGCCGCTGGCCCCCGGCTTCTCCCTGCACCGGGTCTGAGGCAGCTGCGGGCTGGCCAGGGGCTCCTCGATAGTCACCACACGGCTCATGGTGCAGCCCTTCCCGTCCCGCCAGCTAGGGACCCACTACCGACGCCCGGCCGCGGCGTGCACGGTAACCATGGTAACCTGCGTCCGCGCGTCGGGACCAGGGGCGGGGCGAACGCGCGCGGTGGGGCGGGGCTTGAGGAGGAAGGGGCGGGGTTGGCGTGGGAGAGGGCCCCGGTAGGGTGCGGGAGCGGAAGGGGCGGGGCTAGGCGCTGGAGGGGAAGGCGAGCGCGCAGGCGCCTGGAGGGTGGGCGGAGCCCCGCGAGAAGAGAGATGGGAAAGGAGGGGGTCGAGGGGGCGGGAGGGCGCCCGGCAGGCTAGCGACGTCCCCGCTTCCCGCGGCGGCCGCGACTGCCGCGAGTCCTCCACCGCCCCTGGGGAGCCCGCGGCCGCCGCGCGAGTGAGCAGCCATCCGGCAATTACGGTTCGTGCCTTTCGGAAATCCCTGGGAAATCTCGGAACCTTCAGGAATAACTGGGGTCTTTCATTTCGGACCTCCCCTTTCCGCGGGGCTGCTTCTGCTTTTCAAAACTGTGAAGGAAGATATTAAACATTGGGAAAAGTGAATCCACTTTTCATAAGCCTCAGGTACCCGTCACCAAGAATCGACAATTATTTAACACGTTGCCAATCTGGTTTCGTCCTCTCCCCTGCTCTGTGCGTGAATATTTTGAAAATATTCAATCTTCAATAATCAAATCTCAAACGGTATTTTACCCTTAAAGTTAATATACATCTCAAACTGATACAGATGCTCTGCTTGAATATCTTGAAAATATTCAATCTTCAATATTCAAATTTCAGTATTTTACCCTTAAAATTAATGTGCATCTCAAACTGATACAGATGCTCTGTGCTTGAATATCTTGAAAACATTCAATTTTCAAATCTCAGACAGTATTTTACCCTTAAAATTAATGTGCATCTCAAACTGATAACAGATGCTTTTTGACTTCACCATTATCACATCTAACAAAATCATTTCTTCATATCATCTCATACTCAGTACGTACTCAAATTAACCTGGTCAAAGCCAAAATGTCATTTAATAGTGTTTGTTTTTCCTATCAAAAAAAGATCCATTGTATTTTAGTATATCTTGTAAGTCTTATCCCAAAACACTAGATTTTCTAATACTTTCAGTGGATTTTCCTTATTACCTGGGAATGCTTTTGTAAAAAGAACTTTCACCCACTCATTGGTATCCTGAAATACAGGGATCCTAGAAGAAAGACTAGAAAAATGCTGGGATTTTTCACTTTAATTATAAAATTTCAGAGAAATGAATTGATGCCCTAGCAACCTCCAGTGTTAACCAGTAAAGTTTTGTTTGTTTAGGATCATTAGGAATGCATACATTTTACATAGCTGATGTGTTTTAATCCATTATTATTATTTACGATACTCAGATGATCCCATTAGGCTAGTAGCACACACCTTAGAGTTGACTTCTTTGTCCTTTGATGTGATCCATAGTCACTTATTGAATAAACCTCCTGGCCTGCTATCACTCCACACACATATTTCTTGTTTTGTTTACCCCTAAACTTCTTGGGGGTTTGCAAACCAGCCATATGCTTTGTCACTCCCAAGCCCCTGCTCAAGCAAATTCCTTTGCTTACAATGCCTTTTCCTATTTATGCACTAATTTAGGCATCCTTGAAGACTTGGTGCTGACTTTATTACCTTTATGCAGTTTTCACAAATCTCCCAAATAGAGTGAGGCTTCATTCTTTCTTCCAACACTATAGGAGCTCCAATAGCACGGACCACTTTGCATTAGTTAATTGTTTGCAACTCTCTCCACAAAACTGTTAGTTCGTTGTGGGCACAGGCCTTCACATGCTCATTTTGTATCTTTGAAGTTCCTGATAAATGAAAACTTATGATACCTAAATTAATAAATCCATCCGGGGATCCCTGGGTGGCTCAGTGATTTAGCGCTGCCTGCAGCCCGGGGTGTGATCCTGGAGACCAGGGATCGAGTCCCACATCAGGCTACCTGCATGGAACCTGCTTCTTCCTCTGCCTGTGTCTCCGCCTCTTTCTCATTCTCTCTCTCTCTCTCTCTCTCTCTCTCTCTCTCTCTCTCTCGTCTCTTATGAATAAATAAAGTCTTTAAAAAAAACTTTAATAAATCCATCCATTTATGGAAAAAAATTTACTGTCTACTATAGAATAGGTGTTGAAGATTCTGAGATAATTTGTGCAGCATACTCAATGATGGGGAAAACAGAGAAACAAATAAAATACAATATTATAATGGTCTGTGGGCATAGCTACCTTTCCCACTTTCTGTCCCTTCTTCCCAGAATGCTGCTCACCCCTGTCCCCATCTTCTCACTGCTGACTGCTCATCATTTGCGTTCTCAGCTAAAATGTCCCCTCCTCAGACTTTTCCTCTCTGAATCACATAAATTTTCTTAAGTAGCCAACAGCCAGCCCCCTCCATTGATACACTGAAAGACATTAACCAACAGAATATGTCCAGTACGATGAGGTATATATGACTATGTGATTGTCTTCTGTAGACCGTTCTGGCCATCTTACTGGAGTTGTTCACTCTCTCCCTTGGGTGGAGGAAGCAAGTGGCCATGTTGGCCACATAGCAAGGAACCGAGCCTCTTGGAGCTGAGGGCAACCTCCAAACCACAGCAAGAAACCAAAACCTTCAATCCTACAACTGGAAGAAACTGAACCCTGCCAAACCCGAGTGAGATTAAAAGAATATCCTTCCCCATTAGAACCTCAGATAAGACCACAGTCTCACCCAATATCTTGATTACAGTCCTGTGACACCCTCATCAGAGGAGCTACTTAAGCCATGCCTAGATTGCCAACTATAAAAACAGATAATAAATGTGTATTACCACTAGGTTTTTGGCAGTGCTACACAAGAAAGAAATAATGTGCAGTCTTGAGAAAATTACATTCTGTGTCATGCAGTTTATTTGTAACTTTGATGTTGTAGAGGGGTACTAGTTAATAAAAAAATCATTAAAGTTATACTTTGCCGAGGGACGCCCGGGTGGCTCAGCGGTTGGGCACCTGCCTTTGGCTCAGGGTGTGATCCTGGAGATTTGGGATCGAGTCCCACGTCAGGCTCCCTGCATGGAGCCTGCTTCCCTCTGCCTATGTCTCTGCCTCTCTCTGTGTGTCTCTCATGAATAAATAAATAAAATCTTAAAAAAAAAAGTTATACTTTGCCATGTTGGAAGACAGTTGGCCGTGTTTCTGCTTGTTTTGTGAGGTGGGTACTGTCTGCTTTTGTTCCTTTGTGTAGGAAACAACCGTGGACAAGAGAGATAGTGTGCATTTGTGGAGCAAAGGGCAAGTTTGCTTAGAGCCTACGAAGTCAGTCTCCCTTTGAGCAAAGGGCAGGCATTCCTACTGCCCATTATTAAAGATTTGGGTTTCCTAAGTTCACTATTTTTTTTTCCTGTAATGCAACTCAGAGTGTGTGCAGATGCCATCTGGCCTTCTTTACATCACCCTGTGGGAATTGAGGCTCAGAGAACTGGCACAAAAATGCCGATATGATGCATTGCTGCTACCACTGTAAGGAATGAATTACCCTTTATCTCTGACCTAGCAGTTTGCTGGCTTCTAGTAGCATTCATGGGACTATGATAGGCAAATAGGGTAAAATTTCAAACCCTTCAGAGTTCTTGAAAAGCTATAGAACATGATATATAACACATATTTATCTGTAGAAATTGGAAAGCTTTTATTTTTTTCCCCAAGAGGCAGAAATGTAAATACTATACAAAATTACCTCTGCACTTACGAACTAGGGAAGTGAGAACTCAGGCCATGTAATTCTTCTCTCTCAGCATATGGTGTCACTCCTCCACCAACATCCACTACCTACCCTTCCTTGGTAGTCTCCACACCTGGAATTAGTTAGGCAGGAAAAATAGCTAATACTTTCAACACGGAGGGATCTGAGAGAGTATTTCCTTACTTGTTGCTTGTTACATTACCAAGGCTGTCATCCACATGGTGCCATGCACAGGTATTGCTTCCATTCGGTACCACACAATAACGTATTCACTGTACTATACAAAAGTCCATTATAGTCCCCATTTCAACTCTTGCTGCCTATTAATATAGCAGTTACAATAGCAATAGCGAAAAGCCCCTAAGGGCTTAAAATAGTAAAATATTGCTGGTTAGAATCAGCATTGGGAAGCAAGAACTTGATATGAAAGTACTTAATCAAACCAACCTCAAGAGTTGCCTCTCTTAAACAGATGCTTGAATCTAATCCTTTGTTAGTCTCCACATGCCACCTACCCCTGATTTAATCTCCAATTACAGCTCTCTAAAATGGTGTTTTTCTTGGGGGGAAATGGGTTTTTGAGATTTTTCTTGGGAAGAGAATGGGAAACATTAAATGTCATTATTCTATACTCTATTTTTCCTCAAAGACTAAGGCCATCATGTTGCCGGGTGAACTGGTTCCTGAGCCATCAACCCAGTCAGACCTGAAGGAGTTGCCAAAGGTTCTTGGTCCTGTCACGAGAAGGAATTCAAGGACAGGCGTGCAGCACAGAGGATGAGTAACGGAAGCTGGAAAGCTTATTACAACAAAAAGTACCCTGAGGAAATTTGAGAGCAAGAACAATAGCAGGAGCAATGCATGCCCTGGGGGTTTCATTTTCTATCTTTTATCGACCGTTAAGTGGGAGGCAGAATATTTATTACAACGGTTAACATTTTTCTTCCTAATTTGGTCAGGGTTTCCTGTCATGGTCTCCACCATCTTGGGCCTGAGTACTGCCCGGAAGGGCCTCCGCCTTTGCCACCAGCTGGCCTAGACTTCCACCGCGCTAGCCTCCAGCACTGTATCCTGATAGAGCCTAACAAAATGCCTACTCTGACAAGCCCACAAGTCTGAAGGCATTTAGACTGAGTAAGAAAGGCAAAGAATGTTTATGTAAAAATCATTAGTCTTAAAGCTTACCTCTTAGTAAGTTAAAAGCCAGAAGAAAAAGCAACCTATGTGTGTAGGGTAGCTGTAAACCACTCTGAAACTAAATATTTCACTTTGGAATGTCTTTGGT